AGTGGATGCACGGTAGAGTAATGGGTAGTGGCTAGAGGAGAGACGGTGGGGTAATGGGTGTGGAGTAATGGGTAATGGGTAGTGGCTAGAGGAGACACGGTGGTGTAATGGATAGCAGCTAGAGGAGGCAATGGTGGCATGGGGAGCAGGGCTAGGGGATGCAGGGGGTGGGGGTAATAGCTAGAGGAGACACAGTGGCCAGGAAGATGCACAGTGGGGTAATGGGAGTGGCTAGAGGAGGTACGGTGGAGTAATGGGTAGCAGCTAGTGGATGACGGTAGAGAATGGGTGGCCAGTAAATGGGTAACGGCACGGTGGAGTAAGGGGAGTGGGCAGCTATAGGAGAGTAATGGACACGACACGGTGGTGTAATGGGTAGCGGCTAGTGAGACACGGTGGAAGCTAGAGGATACACGGTGGAGTAATGGGCAGTGGCTAGAGGAGACACGGTGGTGTAATGGATAGCAGCTAGAGGTGGAGACACGGTGGATGCACGGTGGGGTAATGGGTAGTAGAGGAGACACGGTTAAGTAGCGGCTAGATGACACGGAGATGGGGGTAATGGGATAGCAGAGGAGGCTATAGGAAGCACAGTAGTGGATTAATGGGTAGCGGCCAGAGGAGACACACGGTGGGGTAATGGGTAGTAGAGGAGAACGGTGTAATGTGTAGCAAGGTGAATAACTAGAGGGATGCACGGTGGAGTAACAGTGGTGTAAATGGATTGCTAGAAGGGATGCACGGTGGGTAATGGGCGGCTAGAGGAGACACGGTGGAGTGGCTAGAGAGGAGACAATGGGTAGTGGCTAGAGGAGAGGGTGGGACAGCTAGAGGATGCAATGGTGGAATAATCAGAGCGGTGGGGTAATGGGTAGTGGCTAGAGGAGACACACGATGGTGTAATGGGTAGCGGCTAGAGGGATGCACGGTAGAGGATGCAAGGTGAATAATGGGTAGCGGCTAGAGGAAGCACGGTGGAGTAATGGGTAGCAGCTAGAGGAGACAGTGGAGTAATGGGGAGGCACTGGGGGATGCAGCGGTGGAGTAATGTAATTGGTAGTGGCTAGAAGGACGGTGGGGTAATGGGTAGCAGCTAGAGGAGACACGGTGGGGTAATGGGTAGCAGCTAGAGGAGACACACGGCTAGAGGATGCACGGTGGGTAATGGGTAGCAGCTAGAGGGCTAGAAGCTAGAGGCACGGTGGAGCTAATGGGTATGGCATAGAGGATGCAAAGGTGGAGTAATGGGTAGCTATAGGAAGCACGGTGGAGTAATGGGTAGTGGCTAGAGGAGACACGGTGAATTGTAATGGATAGCAGCTAGAGGAGGCACGGTGGATTCATGGGGAGCGGCTAGAGGATGCACGGTGGTGTAATGGGTAGCGGCTAGAGGAGACACGGTGGAGTAATGTGTAGCGGCTAGAGGAGACACGGTGGGTAGTGGCTAGAGGAGACACGGTGGTGTAATGGATAACAGCTAGAGGAGGCACGGTGGATTCATGGGGAGCGGCTAGAGGATGCACGGTGGGGTAATGGGTAGCGGCTAGAGGAGACACAGTGGAGTAATTGGTAGTGGCTAGAAGATGCACGGTGGGGTAATGGGTAGTGGCTAGAGGAGAGACGGTGGGGTAATGGGTAACGGCTAGAGGATGCAAGGTGGAATAATGGGTAGCGGCTATAGGAAGCACGGTGGAGTAATGGGTAGTGGCTAGAGGAGACACGGTGGTGTAATGGATAGCAGCTAGAGGAGGCACGGTGGATTCATGGGGAGCGGCTAGAGGATGCACGGTGGGGTAATGGGTAGCGGCTAGAGGAGACACGGTGGAGTAATGTGTAGCGGCTAGAGGAGACACGGTGGAGTAATGGGTAGTGGCTAGAGGAGACACGGTGGTGTAATGGATAGCAGCTAGAGGAGGCACGGTGGATTCATGGGGAGCGGCTAGAGGATGCACGGTGGGGTAATGGGTAGCGGCTAGAGGAGACACAGTGGAGTAATTGGTAGTGGCTAGAAGATGCACGGTGGGGTAATGGGTAGTGGCTAGAGGAGAGACGGTGGGGTAATGGGTAACGGCTAGAGGATGCAAGGTGGAATAATGGGTAGCGGCTATAAAGCTTTGGTGGAGTAAGTGGCTAGAGGAGACACGGTGGTGTAATGGATAATGTGGAGACACGGTGGAGCAATGAGGGCAGCTAGAGGAGACACAGTGGGGTAATGGGTAGTGGGAGGATACAGGTAATGTGTAGCAAGCTAGAGGAGACACAGTGGAGTAATGGGCTAGAGCGGTGGTGTAATGGGTAGTGGCTAGAGGAGACACGGTGGTGTAATGGATAGCAGCTAGAGGAGGCACGGTGGGGTAATGGGGTGGCTAGAGGAGACACGGTGGGGTAATGGAGCGGCTAGGATGGGTGGGGTAAATGTAGTGGCTAGAGAGGAGACACGGTGGGGTAATGGGTAAGCTAGAGGAGACAAGGTGGGTAATGGATAGCAGCCAGAGGAGGCACGGTGGATTAATGGGTAGTGGCTAGAGGAGACACAGGGGAAGTAAATGGGTAGCGGCTAGAGGAGACACGGTGGTGGAGTGGTAGTGGCTAGAGGAGACACGGTGGGTAATGGCAGTGGCTAGAGGATACACAGTGAGGTGTAATGGGTAGCAGCTAGTGGACGCAAGGTGGAATAATGGGTAGCGCTACAGGAAGACACGGTGGAGTAATGGGTAGTGGCTAGAGGAGACACGGTGGTGTAATGGATAGCATAGAGGAGGCATGGTGGCTAGAGGAGACACGGTGGGGAATGGGGGTAGAGGAGACACGGTGGAGTAATGTGCTTAGCAGCTAGGGAGACACGGTGGAGTAATGGGTAGTGGCTAGAGGAGACACGGTGGTGTAATGGATAGCAGGAAGGACACGGTGGGGAGCACAGGGATGCACGGTGGGGTAATGGGTAGCGGCTAGAGGAGACACAGTGGAGTAATTGGAGTGGCTAGAAGATGCACGGTGGGTAAATGGGTAGTGCTGAAGGGGAGACAGAGGGTGGGGTAATGGGTAGCAGCTATGCACGGGGATAGTGGCTATAAGGCTTTGGTGGGGTAATGGATACACAGTAGTGGTGTAATGGATAAGCAACTAAGGGCAGACACGGTGGAGATGTGTAGCGGGAGACACAGTGGCAGCAGAGGATGGGGAGCGGCTAGAGGATGCACGGTGGGGTAATGTGTGGCAACTAGAGGAGACACAGTGGAGTAATTGGTAGTGGCTAGAAGACACAGTGGTGGGTAATGGATAGTTAGAGGAGGACGGTGGATTCATAGAGGGTAACGGCTGAAGGATGGGGGGTAATGGTGACTAGAGGAACTGGTGGAGCAATGGGTAGGGCTAGAAGATGCACAGTGGTGTAAATGGATAGCAGCTAGAGGAGGACGGTGGATTAATGTAGAGCGGCTAGGATGCAAGGTGGAATAATGGGTAGCGGCTAGAGGAGACACATGGTTAGTGGCTAGAGGCTAGAGGAGATGAATTGTAATGGATAGCAACTAGAGGAGATATCGGTGGATTCATGGGGAGCATAATGGTAATGGGTAGCAGCTAGAGGAGACACGGTGGAGTAATGTGTAGCGGCTAGAGGAGACACGGTGGAGTAATGGGTAGTGGCTGAGGAGACACGTAATGGATAGCAAACAGTGGCATGGGAGCGGCTAGAGGATGCACGGTGGGGTAATGGGTAGCGGCTAGAGGAACACGATGGAGAAAGAATGGGTAATGGGTAGTAGCTAGAGGAGAGACGGTGGGGTAATAGAGGATGCAGGTGCAGGGTAATGGGTAGCGGCTAGAGGAGGCACGGTGGAGTAATGGGTAGCGGCTAGAGGAGGCACGGTGGAGTAATGGGTAGCGGCTAGAGGAGACACGGTGGAGTAATGGGTAGCGGCTAGAGGAGACACGGTGGTGTAATGGATAGCAGCAGAGGAATGGATTCAGAGCGGCCAGAGGGCAGCTAGAGGAGACACGGAGGAGTAATGGTAGCAACTAGAGACACGGTGGAGTAATGGGAGGAGGCACGGTGGAGCTAACAGTTAGTTCATGGCGGTGGGGTAAACTAGAGGAGACACAGTGGGTAATTGGTGTGGCGGTGGAGTAATGGGTGGCGGCGGTGGAGTGGCCATTAACAGGAGGACACGGTGGAGTAGGAAGCAATGGGTGGGTAGTAGCTAGAGGAGACACGGTGGAGATAATGGGTAGCAGCTAGAGGATGCACGGTGGGGCAATGGGTAGCGGCTAGAGGAGCTAGCGGCTAGAGGAGGCACGGTGGAGTAATGGGTACACGGTGGTGTAATGGATACAGCTAGAGGAGGCACAGTGGAGTAATGGGCAGCACTAGCTAGGATGCACGGTGGAGTACGGTGGGTAATGGATAGCAGCTAGAGGATGCACGGTGGAGAAATGGGGTAGCAGCTAGGAGAGGAGGCACGGTGGAGTAATGGGTGGTAGCGGCTAGAGGATGCGGTGGAGTAATGGGTAGACACAGTGGTGCTGGGAAGCACGGTGGATTCATGGGTGCTAGAGGATGCTAGAAGATGCACGGTGGGAGTAATGGGGTGGCTAGGGGAGACACGGTGGTGTAATGGAGGAGGAGCACGAAGGGTAGTTCATGGGGGTAAGGGATGCAGTGGAGAGAGCTGACGACACAGTGGATAATTGGTGGGTAGAAAGATGCACAGTGGGGTAATGGGCCATAAGGTAGCCAATGGGTAGTAGCTAGAGGAGAGAATGGGTAGTGGCCAGAATCAGCACGGAAGCACAGTGGAGTAATGTGATGGCTAGAGAAGGCTAGAGATAGCAGCGCACGATTCATGGGGCAATGCACAGTGGGGGTAATGGGTAGTAGCGGCGATGGGTAATGTGGGTGGCAACTAGTGGATGCACGGTAAGTAATGGTAGTGGCTTCGAGGAGAACAATAGGTGGCAGCTAGAGGATTAGGTGGAATAATGGGGCCTATAGAATGGCACGGTGGAGCACGGTGGTAGTGGCTAGAGGAGACACGGTGGTGTAATGGGTTAATGGTGGATTACATGCGGAGCGGCTAGGAGGATGCACGGTGGGGGTAATGGGTGGCGGCTAGAGATGACGCACGGTGGGGTAATGGCTAGTGGGAGCAGAGGATGCACGGTAGCGCACAGAGGAATAATGGGTAGCGGCTAGAGGATGCACGGTGGAGTAATGGGGTGGCTAGAAGACACGGTGGTGTAATGGGCAGGATGAACGGTAGAGGATGCGCGGCCAGAGGAGGCACGGTGGAGTAATGGGTAGCGGCTAGAGAGAGGATGCACGGTAATGGGAGTAATAGAAGACACGGCTAGTAAGGTAGCAGCTAGAGGAGACACGGTGTGGAATGGGTGGGCTAGAAGACACGGTAATGGGTAGCTAGAAGAGGATGCACGGTGGGTTAATGGGTAGCAGCTAGTGGATGCACGGTAATGGGTAGTAGACAGTGGGGTAAATGGGTAACAGCTGCACGGTGGAATAATGGGTAGAGGGACACGGTGGTAAGTAGAGGAATGGGTAATGGCTAGAGAAGACACGGACTGAGGAATCGAAACTGGGTCGAGTGGCTCGGTGGGGTAAATTCCAACAGAGGATGCCGGTGGGGAGCAATTAAATTCCTTATGTGCGAATACACGGAGGAGACACGGGTGGAGCAATGGGTTGTGGGCTAGAAGGAGGCACAGGTTGGGTAGGAAGCTAGAGGAAATGGAGTATGAATTCTTCTTTCCCCAGCAGCAAGCTACGGGTAAATAGCAGAACAGCAGGTTCTATAGCCTATGATGGCCATTGAAATGGCTAATCTACCTGCGAGAAAATAAATCTGCCTTGTTATCGTGTATCGAAAAGATCGTCCTAAGCGCAGTGGGGTAATGGGTAGTCGCTAGAGGATCGCTCATGGCATAATAACGGTAGGACTAACTTAAAAGTAATTTCTTTACGCAATTTTATATAAAAATATTGAGCGACACATAAAACAAATTAATCATGGAATTTTAAAAAATTAATTAAATTGGGAAACAACCATCCTAATATAAAATAAGAATAACGGTGGGGTAATCGTGGCTAGAAGATTTGGTTAAGAGGATTGGTGTTAGAGGTATAATGGGTAAGCAGCTAGAAGGGATGCACTGCAAACAGGAATGGGTAGCAGCTAGGAGGCACGGTGGAGTAATGGGTAGCGGCTAGAGGAGACACGGTGGTATAAACAAAGAGGGAAAAGTAATGGGTCATTAGAAGATACAATAAAGCTAGAGGAGACAAATCGTCTAGAAGAGGATGAATGGGTATCAATTAATGATGCCACAGAAATTCCTTAATTTATCATTTACAGTGGTGGTAATGGGTAAAGTTTAGGATGCACGGTCTAAATGGGTAATAAGTAACACGGTTAACTGGGTAGACAACAAATGCTGGTGGGGTAATATATATATATATACACAGTATATATATATACAGTGGATTCATGGGGAGACATATATATATATATATATATATATATAAATTCTCCGGTGGGGTCATTTGGGATACACTATGACTGCATCTCCAATATAGAAAGGGGAGACAAATTTTAAATACTTGCGTTTACCATACTGAGGACATCAATGGAGGTTACAGCTCGTAGGTTAACTTATCACATATCTAGAGGAAATAGTGCAATAAAATAGTAGTGGATAATATAATGGAGTAATAGTGCGGACTGAGGAATCGGAAAAGTCGAGTTCGAATTCCAATCGAATCCTTTAAATTCCCTTATGTGCGAATACCCTTGGGAAAGGTATGAATTCTCTTCTTTTCCCCACCCAAGCTACGGGTAAATAGCAGAACAGCAGGTTCTATAGCCTATGATGGCCATTGGAAATAGCAATCTACTGCGAGAAAATAAATCTGCCTTGTTAGTCGTGTATCGAAAGATCGTCTAAGCGTGCATCGCTCATGGCACATAAGTGACTGACTTAAAGAAAGTAATTTCTTTACGCAATTTTTTATAAAATATTGAGCGCCATAAAACAAATTAATCATAATTTTAAAAAAATTAATTAAATTCAGAAACAACCATCCTGATATAAAGAAGAATAAAATAAATGTCATCGATTTGTTCTACCGTAAACAGAAGCGACCTAACTATAAACAAGATGAAAAGGTCATTCAAAATAGAAATCGTCTGAATGTATCAATTAATGATGCCAAGAAATTCCTTAGATTTATCATTTACTGTAACAAGTTTAAGACTTCTAAACTAATAAGTAACATTAACTCAGGACAACAAAAATCACCCCATATATATATATATATATATATATATATATATATATATATATATATATATAAATTCTCCTGTCATTTATATGACTGCATCTCCAATATTAAGGACAAATATTTTAAATACTTGCGTTTACCATACATGAACATCACTATCTCGTAGGTTAACTTATCACATATCGAAATAGTGCAATAAAATAGTGATATAATATAATATATGCAGAGAGACAAATAACACCCAATCGGCGCGCATATACACACACGAGGAGGTCTTTGAGTCTCTGTATGCGTGTATAGAGTGCTGAAAAAGCCTCGATTTATACACATTAGACAATCTTCTCAAAGATGAAGAAGAGATTCGAAGCAACAGAAATATGGTTCTAAGGAAAGATGCTGAGGATATCATGAATCGAACATGTGAGCAGCGACGAGGTTTTGGAGAAAATGGAAACAAAAAGGAAACTTATACTTAACATCATAAGGAGGCAGTTGAAATTTCTGGGGCAAGTAATGAGGAAGTGGGATGGGGCTTGGAAAACCGGATACTCACATGACAGATTAAGAGAAAGACCGACAGAGGAAAGCAGCACATAACATATTTGATGAGCTTGGGTAAATGCACGGTAGAACAGGGAGAATTTTTTTTTTTAATTATTAAGGGCTACAAGGGACAGGAAGATGTAAAGGGCCATGATTGTTTATGTCCAGAAGGGACACGATACATAAAGAAGAAGAAAGAACGATTTGTTCCATTTTTGAACAACGGACAATTGAGATATTAAGATTGAATTACCTGCCGTCTAATATCAAACGCCATATTCTTTGGTTCGAATCTGCAATTTCTTAGTTTTGCACGGTCCCACGGTACAATAACTTAATAGATTAAAATTGTTGCCCGGTGGATTTGGAAATATAGTAATCCTGAGTTCACTCTAAGTATTGAGATTGGGGGAAACACCTAACCGATTGCTCTCTCAATCGCTACGGTGGTAATAGACAGAGAATAGATAGAGACAGGGAATAACAAAATGACACGGCCTCAGAAGAGATATCAACCTTAGGAACGAAATGCCTACTTCACAAGACACCGAATCTACGATTTATTACTGATTTTTTACAGTAATTGTGACACAAGGCCGAAAAGGGGGAGTTGGATTCAGGCCGGTCGACACTAGCTATTCTGTACCTAGCTAATGAGATTCACAACCCATTCTTTCATTACAATTTATTTATTCACTACTAAAACTCGTCCTTCGTCATTCACGGCTGCATACGGAAAACCGACAACACACCGCAGGGCATAAAAATTTCTATATTCACAGTTGTATATACAAATATATATATATATATTTGTATATACAATTGTGTATATATTCACAATTGTATATACAAATATATATATATATATATATATAATCGACTCTCCCGTCGAGATTCGACGTATGAGGGTCAAGCAGATCAGTTTCCAGGAAACCGACAGCCCGACACCGGCACATGAGATTTGATTATAGTGGTGAAGGCCTCGTGCAGGACCAGCCACACTTTTTGAAGGGACGAATACAGAGACCTGGTGCACCGAATGCCACAAGATTCCCAAACGACCCTCCGTAGGTTTTGAATTCAGAGTTGTCCTTCTCCTATATCTGTTGCCATCCAAGGCTATAGAACCCAGTCTGTCTTGCTATTTTACCCATAGCTGGAGGGATATATATATATATATATATATATATATATATATATATATATAATGTAGGGTGGGGAGGATGACCCCGAAAAATACAAACTGAAAATAAATGACATTAGCAGGAACACGTCCACCTCCCAACAATAAGAGTGACCACTGTATTCTGTCTTTCGACAAAATCAAGAGGTTCTCTCGCTAAGGGAGAGGGAAAGGATAAAAAATTATGGGCATTAGAAAATTCAAAAACTGACCCAGTGGGAATGAAAGGAGCAGGCCAAAACAAACTGGGGAGGTCGGGAATTTCGACTTGGATCATAACAAAAGTAGAAGCTGGTTACAGGCTGGTAACGACACTTACATTAACTAGGTACACAAGAAGGGTCTATCTTAACCAGGTGGGGGCTCCTCATCCAAGACACCGAGTCTTGTCAACTGATCGTTTTCCTGTCGCTTTTATTGACAAGAGACAGCTGCCAGAAACCTAGATATAGACAAGTTGTAGAGAGGCCCGTATCTAAACAAACCAGGCTGTTCCGCTGCTAACGTTAAAGTCCGGATGTAAATGGTTTTGCATATCGACTGACGCGCGTTTGCCATATTTATGGACACCATTTTATTTACTAAACGATCAGGAAACATCTCAACCATTTTATGAGGAATATTAAGAATTAATTCAATAACTAAATAATACATGAAATCAAGAATATCATATTAACAGATTTTAAATGTTTTACTCTTACAAACAATTAGTTTATTAGATCGACTGTTTTCCCTTGTGGTATATCCGAAAAGAGTTAATTCAGAAATGCAAAGCACATCTTTTGTTGAAAGTTTTCGCCGGCCATTTTTTTTTATTCACAACCAAAATAATTGAGTATGTTTAATTGAATTCATATCTTGTGAATCACATGATGGATTTGTGAACATGCTGTTATTTCCCGAATGCGAGGGTGGGGTTGCGTTTGAAAAATCAATCAAAGTTGAACGCTTAACTAATTTTAGGTCAAGGAATTCTGACATGATTTTGGCTCATAAAATCTATTTTCTATTGTTAAGGCTTTTACATTTTTATCTATCTATCTATCTATCTATCTATCTATCTATCTATCTATCTATCTCAGTCTCTCTATCTATCTATCACAGTGTGTTCATTTCTTTCTATCTATCTATCTATCTATCTATCTATCTATCCCAGTCTCTCTCTATATATATCTATCTCAGTCTCTCTATCTATCGATCTATCTCAGACTATTCTAATCTACAAATCGATATAATCCAGTCTGTATCTGATATCTGTATATATCAGTTCTTATCTGAACACCTACTTATTTCTTTTTGCTATATGTCAAATATCTGCACTCTTGTAAATATCAGTAAACATCCAGGAAACTGCATGAGAACAAAACAGATATGTTGATTTCTGGATCGAGGAGTTATTTTTATTTACAATATTTACTTTCGAACTAATGTTCTCATCTTGGTATTCATTATCACAACGTTTCAGTCGTTGTTGCTTTTGGCCTTCTTCAGATTTCTGTCGATACGCGTAACTTGCCTGCAATTTCGAACTGAAATCTTCATTCAATCTCTGGTGGTATATTGTTGTCATTCCGCTCTCACCATCGGGATATGCAGTGCGGCAGTTTCCAACAAACTGAAAGGAAATATCCACTCAATTATAAAAAATATAATGACCTTTGTTTTGGTATCTGTCTATATTTCTGAGATGAGGTATTATGTACACTATTTACATTATTCGGACTATTGTCTTCATATTTGTTGCCATATTTATCACAACGTTTCGGCCGTTGTACACTCAGGCATTTTTTAGGTGGTTGGAATGTCGAACTGAACCCTTTATTTCGCTCTCTGGGATAACTTTTCTAGTTCCATATGCCATATCTAATGGATATCAGTTATCTGTTATCTCCTGTTAATTCCCCTCTCCAAGTTCCAAAGAGTGTGAGTTCAATACCCTGTTAAGGCGGTGGAGAAATTGGAGAGGGGCATTAACAGGAGATAACTGATAACTGACATCCATTAAACATGGCACGTGGAACTAGAACAGTCCAGCGAGCGAAATAAAGGGTTCAGTTCGACATTCCAACCACCTGAAGAAGGCTGGAGCGCACAACGGCCGATACGTTGGGATAAATATGGCAAAAAATATGAGGACAATAGTCCGAATAATGTAAATAGTGCCCTTTGTTTTAAACAAATTTTGTTGACAATAAATACATTTTAGTGGTATGTGTTATTTTGTTTATCTCACTTGAAATATTTAAAATACAACTCTAGCGTTGCGATACCGCACGTTACGAAATTGTACCGTTAATAAATAGCACACTTTAAAAAAAAAAACATCTTTCGGCTTGCAATACATTTATTTTCAACTTGAAAATTTACCTGAAATTTACCTGAAATGAAAACAATATTAATACCTGACGATGAAGTGGTAAATTTCTTCGAAATTACTTGTAACAGAACATCTAATCCATCTCATAATTTTAAATATAAGGATCGTGTCATTCAGAGAGTTGTTAGTAAGTTCATATTTCATTGATCTGTTAGCGAAATAATTTCGCCGTTAATTGCATTAACATTACTGATTAATTCTTTGGATGATTACTTCTTTATAATATTACACACACACGCATATATATATATATATATATATATATATATATATATATATATATATATATATATATTGGTGAAAGATGCATGACAAATTGAAAAAAAGTTTTCGTGTCACGCTTTTCGTCCTTTAGGACTTCTTCGGATTAAGTTTGTTTACGTTGATGCGACCTACACATGCGCACGAACGAGAGACGCTGGGAATTTTAAATTTAAAAATATTTGTTTTTATGTGTTTTGAGTATATAATCTAGCTGATTCTATTTAGGTTCTTTTTCTTTTTTTCCATTTGTTTCCATCATCTTTGTTATTAAGTGTCCCACATTTTGGTAACAGAAGATACGACAAGAATGGAAACAAAAAGAAAGAGAATCTAAATAAAATCGGATAGATTATATACCCAAAACAGGTTTAAAAAAAAACTTTACACTGCAAAAAAATATCCAACTACTGACTGTGGAAACTGCCGCCAAGGCAGTAGTCAAATTGAAATACAACAGACTCTTTAAGGACCCGAATCTGAAGGCGAAATATATGTGCAGTGTTAAAAGCAGATACAATAGAAAAAATGTGAATGGAAACTCGAAATGCGGCACATTAAGAGAAGCATTAATATCATTAGCAATCGAGATCATCTGAAAAAAATTAAACAAAGAAAAAGAGAATGGGTGCCAGAGGAAATTCACGAGATTTATAAAAAGGAGACAAAAACAATGCCAAGTTAGGGCACAGAATACAGAACTATGCACAAAGAAATTAGGAACAAATGCAAGAAGGCTAAAGTGGACTGACTCAACGAAGAATGTGCAGAAATAGAAAGAATGGGTATCACAGATAAAGTACATATACCTAAAAAAATAAGACTGTTAACAGGGCAAAAGA